AATTTCTAGCTAAGTATTTTTAATCTTCAAAAAGTGTTAAGCTTAGAAATGATATTACATCATTTACTCAGTATGAAAATGAGTCAATATACGAAGTTCGGAAACAATTTAAAGAACTCCTTATGAAGTGTCGACATCACGGTTTGCCAGACTCGTTGATTATTCAAACATTTTATACGAGTCAGTAGGATCTCTTAGATTTATCATTGATGTTGCTGTTGGAGGATCATTAATGTCAAAACCATTTGATGGCATATGAATTAATAAAAAAGATGGCTACTAACAACATTAAATGGCCTTATGAAGGGGTAAATCCTAAGAAAATACCAGTGTTCATGATACTAAAGCGATTTCAATTTTGGCATCTTAAGTTGTTGTGATATTCAAGAAGTTAGACTAATTTTGAATGAACTTACCTCAAACACCTCAAATGAGTAAGGAAAGTTCATTGGGACAAATGATGGATTCTCAATCTCCTTCTTATGAGACTTTAAATGTAATTAATAATAGGCCCAATAACCCATATTCAAACTATTATAACCCTAATCGAAATTTCTAGCTAAGTATTTTTAATCTTCAAAAAGTGTTAAGCTTAGAAATGATATTACATCATTTACTCAGTATGAAAATGAGTCAATATACGAAGTTCGGAAACAATTTAAAGAACTCCTCAATTTAAAGAACTCCATATGAAGTGTCGACATCACGGTTTGCCAGACTCGTTGATTATTCAAACATTTTATACGAGTCAGTAGGATCTCTTAGATTTATCATTGATGTTGCTGTTGGAGGATCATTAATGTCAAAACCATTTGATGGCATATGAATTAATAAAAAAGATGGCTACTAACAACATTAAATGGCCTTATGAAGGGGTAAATCCTAAGAAAATACCAGTGTTCATGATACTAAAGCGATTTCAATTTTGGCATCTTAAGTTGTTGTGATATTCAAGAAGTTAGACTAATTTTGAATGAACTTACCTCAAACACCTCAAATGAGTAAGGAAAGTTCATTGGGACAAATAATGGATTCTCAATCTCCTTCTTATGAGACTTTAAATGTAATTAATAATAGACCCAATAACCCATATTCAAACTATTATAAACCTAATCCAAAAGCCGCCCTGATTTTAACTGGAATAATAATAATGATGGTATAAATCAGTAATGGGGGAACAATCAAGCGAACAATTGGGAAATTGGAATAATCAGGGTAATACTAACTATAAACCTTCTTATCCTCCTGGCTTTACCAATAACCAGCTAAATAAGGAGAAGAAATTGTCTATAGAAGAAGTGATGTTACAGATGGGGAATCAATTACAATGTTAGAGTGCTGCAATTAGAAATATTGAAAATCAATTGGGACAAATTGCTAACTCACTTAGCAATAGGCGTTAGGGAACACATCCTAGTAACAATTAAATTAATCCTAAACATAAAAACAAAAAGAAAGTTGATGCAATCACTATTTTTTGGATGGATATTCAAGATACCGCGAAATACATATATCTACTGAGGATCAAGAAAAACCAACATTCACAAGTCCCTAAGTAACTTTTGTTTTTTAAAGAAAATTTTTTAGTTTATGTAATGCACCTGCAACTTTTCAAAGGTGCATGATGTCCATTTTATGAGATCTAATTGAGAAAGTAATTGAAGTTTTCATCGATGATTTTTTAGTTTTTTGAACAGCCTTTGATTCATGCTTTAGATGATTTAACTAGAGTTCTAAA